GAGATATCCCTGGCCGTCAGGTTCAGGGCTGACGGCTTGGATGGCTTTAGCGCTCTAAGGCTTAGGGTAGGGTTTAGGGTTTAGGGTTTAGGGTTTAGGGTTTAGGGTTTAGGGCTCAGGGTTTAGGGTTTTGGGGTTTAGGGTTTAAGGGTTTAGGGCCCGAATAAATACCTACATTTTTTTTCGGGGGTTTCCATTATATCTATAGTCTAATACACACCAAAACCCTATTCTAATCACTAAGGCCCCTACATTAGGTTTGGGTTCAGGAGGCTTTGAGAGGGGTCTATGGGTAATGGTTTAGGGTTCAGATCAGGGGCATTGTTGTCTTTTGGAGGGTGAAACATCAGCAGCTGTGCCGCCCAGCCCCTTCCCACCTTACCCTCTGGGCGGTCCGGGACTCTCAACGACACGTAGTCTCGATTGGGCACGGCCGCACGCGTGCGGGCTCTGTGTGTGTGTGTGTGCGTGTGTGCGTGTGTGTGTGTGTGTTTTGGGTGGGCGTGCCTCTCACTCTCTCTCTCTCTCTCTTCTCTCTTTCTCCTTGTCCGTATGCGTGTGAGTACATTGTGTAAAGGCACGATTACGGCGTGTTAAACATGATTAGAATGTCTCTAAACCCTAAACCCTAAACCCTAAACCCTAAACCCTAAACCCTAAACCCTAAACCCTAAACCATGCACCCTAAACCCTAAACCATGCACCCTAAACCCTAAACCCTGCACCTAGGGATCTTGTCGACACGCCGTGACTCGCCGAGCCAAGGTTCGCTCCTTCACCCGAGTGGCCGTATCCGCAGGCCTGCACTCTTGGCATGCTAATGTAGGGGGTTTAGGGTTTAGGGTTTAGGGTTTAGGGGTTTAGGGTTTAGGGTTTAGGGGTTTAGGGTTTAGGGTTGAGGGTTGAGGGTTTAGGGTTTAGGGTTTAGAGACCTAAAGAGTTACCCATATTATTTTGTGGGTTCCTTAGTATAAATATAGTATAGTGGGTCCCAAAACCCTATTCTGATTATTTAAAGCTCTTGCATTATACAGAGAGGCTCATGTAACCTTTGCACGAGCGTGTGGCAGAGTTTCTGCTCTCTGTCGTAGTACTCTGGTACTTAGGACCCGCCACTTCTTGCGCATGCAAGGCAGATGCAGCAGGGACGACATAGGAAGAGGTGTTTGTAAAAGAGTTTTTGGAGAGCGGCACGGAGCCTCAAAGTGCTCCAGGAGTTCCTGACGCTGAAGAACGGCGATCTTGTGCAGGTCACTGACCGTCCCAATGGGCAGTGGCAAGGACCAGATAATGTGATTCAGGTTGCTCCGACTGGGAAGGGATTCCCTGACTTCCAGCTGCCCGACGTCCCAACTCTTCCTGACCGCCGCTCTTCGGAAGTGGCACCTGGTGCTAGACCTACCCCTCGAAGCTCTAAATTCCCAAACCTCGAAGCCTTCAACCCTCTGTCCCAAACTAGGCTGAACCCTGTTTCCAAAATCCCCAAAATGCCCAAAAGGCTCACCCCCAAAATGCAAAGAAGGCCTTCAAAAAAAGAAATCCCCAAAATGCTGAACCCTGAGACTTGTCCCTAAACCCTAAACCCTAAACCCTAAACCCTAAACCCTAAACCCTAAACCCTAAAAGCTGCCTGCAGGATGGGCCCGAGGAAAGCTGTGGAAGAGCCATGGCAGCCAGGAGCCATGTACTTAGGAACCCAAAAGGGAGTTTCCGAAAATTAGGGGTACCTTATTTTGGGGTCCTTATAGTAAGGATCCTATTATTTAGGGTACTATATTAGGGTCCCCTATTTTCGGAAACCCCCAAAAAGGACATAAGCAGAAGCATTTCTATAGGGATTTGGGCTTCATTATAACGGGGGGGGGGTTTATATGGGATATCAGGGATATCCCTATCCTAATTTTTGCTTATGGTGCTTTTTGGGGGGCCCTAAATGTAAGGGACACTACGTCGAAGGCCCAAGTGTTCGCAAGGCAAAGGATCCCAGTGCGTCTTCGCGTTAAGAGGCTTAGGGTTGAGGGTTTAGGGTTTAGGGTTTAGGGTTTAGGGTGTAGGGTTTAGGGTTTAGGGTTTAGGGTTTAGGGTTCATAATGGAATCTGCAGGCAGCCGTGGTCTCAATGCGTTCTAGCATAGCTGTGGTATGTGTCAAGCTGGGGGTTTCCGAAGATAGGGGACCCTAATATAGTACCCTAAATAATAGGATCCTTAATATAAGGACCCCAAAATAAGGTACCCCCCCCCTATTTTCGGAAAGTCCCATATGATTCTAAGCCTAAACCCTAAACCCT